TTTCTTACTTCTACAGTTATTTTCTGAAATACTTCTAACATTTAAGAGAAGAACTTGAGCAAAAGTTTGTCAAATAAGCTTATAAAGTAACTACTAAGAACGATTGCAATATGTCGATGAGATAAATCTTATGATTTTTTGTAAAATTTTACACTTCTTGCAAAAAGTTAGAAAAAAAGTGAGATGATTTTAAATGGTACAAGGTAGCTTTTAAATGTTGCTTATAAGCTATGTAAAAAATTTTTCTTATTTTTATACCTGAGACTTAGAGTACCAGGTCTTTGGAATGTTTGTCTTTTTTTTGTTCTCGCATTTATGCTTACCATTCAGAGTTCAAGCTTACAGCAGCCAAATGCTTACGAAATTCCAAATTCTCTGCAAATCTTTATGCATTTGATACAGTAGACGTCTGTTCTCCAATAAGAGTCAGTAGAACGAAACAATGATCGCTTAACGTTTAGTAAATAAAACTTGCACTTCCTACAGCTTACAATTACAGTATCTTTGGAGTACTAAAGTTTACATATTTGTAATTTCAACTCTTAATCCTACCAAAAATGACAAATAAAAAATTCTCATAAGATGAAAAAAATTGTTTTTTTTGGAATTTATTACCGCAGCTAGTAATACAAACAAGAAATAGTCAAGGATTATTTCATAAATAAATTTCTTAGTTTACATCTTGTTTTCGAGAATATACAGAAACTAAAATCTTGTTTTTGCGCTCTGTTATAAAGTTTCTCGAAAGCTAAGTTAAATATATTTTTTCTCTATGTTTCTCTTTTCGTGTTCAACTGCTTTTTCTAGTAAATTCTACTCAATAAAATTTCTTATTTGAAAGTCTTTTTAGCGAATTTCTCGTGAACAATATTTCGTTCTCACTGGTATTTCTCCGCTGAGCGTTTGGTAATCATAAAAGTTCCTTATTTTGCTGCATAAATAAGCAAGCAAAAGCAAAGACAAAAAAAAACTGGAGAAGGCTGACAGGAAGACAGAGGCTGCAATAACAGCACAGTACCTAATAGTTGCAGTTTCGATAAAATAAGAGAAGCAAAAAAAGAAAGAC